TTTCCCAATGTGTTCAAGGATTCTCATGACTGATTTCTGAAGCCTCAGTTTTTATAGATGATGTGTGTGCACTGTCAAGTCTAACTCTTTGTGACCCCCATGGACTGTAGCCCACCAGTTGCCATTTCCTCCACCAGGGGACCTTGCCAACCCAGGGATTGAACCATCTCTTGCGTCTCCTGCATTGGCAGGTGGATTCTTTATCACTAGCACCACCTGGGAAGCCCCTCATGATTGATATTTTTAGTCAAGTTTCAGAAAAGCTCACCCAAAGGAAAAATTCACCAGGGGGCCTAACTGTACTGAAGTAGTAAGATTCATCTATCCAGCTGGCCCAAAATTATAGATTTCTGCTTTCTTGGGGGAGGGATTGAGAGCTTTCTGTCAGCATGAATGTGTCCTCTCTCCTATTTCCAAAATTTGTTCTAACTGCCAATTCACCTCAAACAGTCTTCATACTGTTTCTGCAGAACTGAACAGACTCTCTACCTATCACTGATACTCTCTACCTATCACTGATACCCGGAGTGGAGATAAACACTAGTCCCATTGATCTTAACAGATGAATTTAAGGAAAGAGCAGTTATGAACTCTGCTTCCCTCAACTGAAAATTGTTTCCAAGTAAAAATGAACTTAATGTCAATAGTGTACTGACAAATTAATCTATTTACAGACCTAATCTATTGAGTACAGACAAGCTCCATTATTCCAGGACCTTTGTTTCTGTACAGTTATTATACAATTCTACTGTAATAGACTTTTAATGTGCAGTTTAATCTGAATCTTTAATCTGTGCGACATCCACTATAATCTTTAAGAGATTATTTTTTTTAACAAGTATTTTTTAAGTCATGGTAGATAACTGATTTACTTCAAGTTATCACTGTTAATCCAAACTGCCACAAGATTCAAATCACACAGTGGGTACTTACTGCAGGAAGTCAACTTTGGAAAGGAAGAGGGGGTTCGACTTTTTGATCTTTTATCCCTTATTGTGCATAAATAATATAATCACTCAAATAATTCTAGCACAGTTCTTGGAACAGGTGCTCAATTAATGCCAGATAAATGTTTCACTTCACTTTCTAATTCTATTAAAAAATTTAAATATTAGGAAATTTAAGTTAAGAAAAACAAGGGCAGCTAAAGTCATTTCATGTCTATGTAAAAATGTACTGTTTGCTATTTTATACACTGCTATGGACTGGAACTGTGTATCCTCCCTGCAATGTGTTCTCCACTTCCCATGTTGAAGCTCTATTCCTGATATGACAATATCGGAGGTGGAGTCCTCGAGGTAACTGGGTCATGAGGGAGGTGCCCTGGTAAGAGACACTGAGAAAGACAGTCTCTCTCCCTCAAGTAAAGACACAGCTAGAGGTCAGCTGTTGACAAACCAGGAGGGTGCTCATCAGACATCAACTCTGCCAGCACCTTGACCCTGGACTTTCCAGCCTCCAGAACCACGAGGAATAACTGTTGGTTGTCGTTGCCGCCCAGTCTACAGTATCTGGCATGGCAGCCTGGACTAGGACACACACTCCACCCCCACTTCCTTAAGAAATCACAAATGTCAAAAAATGCTTACTGGTTTCTTCAAATGTTTGTTTTAAAAGTGAGATTCCATATGGCACAGATGTATTAATTATAATGTACTAATAAGCACACTAATGGTCCTCTGTGGGCATTTAAAAAGCCTGAAAAAACAAAACTCTCATCCCATTTCACTGATGACTCCTTCAGCACTTATATTCATAAAAATCTGTGACAAAAATAAGTAAACATATAGAGGAAAAAAATTATCCAGAAGATGCCAAGTGTCAACTTATTTGACCTCCTCTTATCTCTTTTAAAGAAGTATTTATGCCTTATGACGTCTCTTACAGGCGTCTTCTTGGGCCTTATAATTCCTTTCACCCCTCAGCAACACAATTTGTCTTCAGTTTGTCCATGTTCCTGTTCACACTTCACCCTTAGGACTTACTTCTCTGCTGTTGTATGTTTGACAGGGACATCTTTGGGTGTCTATAAACTGTAAATAAATGGCTTCATGGTTCAGTACTTCATGGTCTTCAAGACCAGCATGGGTGGCTATAGATTGGGCTAGTTGATAGCCACCGAATATTAAGTATGTTCATATGTGCAAAAACACAATAAGAAGTCCTAAGAGGTTTTCCACAATTTAAACATTCCCTTCACCCACTTATTATAAAAGACAAAATATTTTAGAAGGATTGGACTTACCCTTCAATAAATCTACAACTTCCTACAGAATCATTTCAGGTTATAAGTACTGAAAGTGAGGCTTCAAACTAGTCCACCCAAAATGTTTCCCAGATACATTTTTTAATGAATAAAATAATACCTGATCTAGTAGAAGTCTAAGTAACTTTAAAAATTCAGTATTTTAAATTAAAGTACTAAACTACTGTAATGATTCTAAGTTACTGTCAGTCTATAACTTTGTGAGATTGCAAAGCCTAAAAACAAAAAAATGAGTTAATTCTAAACTATGCTAACATTAAGAATATTCTCTCTAGCGATGTGAACATCCAGATAAAGGAATATGATAATACCTAGTAATTGGTTTCTTGGTTAACTATTTTCCATTGTTCTTTCTAAACAAAAATAAAATCTATTTATTACTATTACCCTAAACAGTTAACCAAAACATATACCCAAATATTGTTATATTTTAGGTGTCAGAAGAATTTAAATGTTGTAGGATAAAATATTTAGGGTAGAGATGAAAGATTACTTAAAACATTCACCTAAAGGTACACACTTAAGTTTCTAAAATAATATGCTAATCCTTGGATTCATGTATCGTGGTATTTTGCTCAATTATCTGATAGTCAATATGCAGAAATACTAATACACATTCCATCTTTTATATGATAAAAATTATTTCACATAATTTAAATATGATTTATAGCCTTTTAGCATAAGAGATACATGTTTTCCTTACAACAGCACTTCAATTTTATTTTGAAATAAAATAACTTCTGAGAGAAGAAAATCTACAAATATATTCTCTTACTATCAGTTTGAAGTTAAACCAAGGACTATACAAAAACAACTTTTTTTTTTAACTTAATGAGAAGTTATTTACCCATTTCTATCACCTGATGTTAGTACAGGAGAATTTTTCCAAAGCTTTAATATGATTCAGAAACAGATTAATAGCAAAAAAAAAAAAAATTAAAATCTTTGATTTTGAGAAGGTAAGTTTTTAGGTGCTGCAAATTTCTCAGAATTATCCACATATTAGGTTGCACTGAAATATTTATGTGTGTTAAGTTATACTGAGATATTCAGGTGCTCATGTTACTACTGAGGAATATCTGTTCACATTTATTTATATTACACTGACAAAACAGCAGTCCTATAATTCAAGAAGACACTAAATTTCAAAAGTTTGGATAAATATAAAAGTGCATTTTGAGCTCTGCTGGTTTAAGCATTTGATATCTTCAATGAATACCTTCCTTTTAGGATAACAAATATCAGGCCATGGACTAATTTGACTCTGGTTACATAATACTTGTAACACTCAAATGGGTTTGCAAATATAAACATCTCCGCTTTAGCATAGTTCTGAGGGGAGGATCATCCTTCCACATATAACACATGCAAACAAGTGCAACTGGGTAGGAGGAGGCAACTATTTTTATTATGGAATGATGGCGAAAGAGATGAATCATAAAAAAGAACAGATCACTTTTAATAATTCCCCTACAAACTTTGCAGCTTAGGCCCAGTGTCACAGAAATTTTGGAATGGTATTTAAATAGTCCTGCTTTCTCATCTCTTTCTGGTTAACATCTAGACTAAAAGTCACCCAATTTAGTAATCTTTAAGGCTACTATAAGGAATCAAGCTTCAACTCAGATGCAGCTTTCTGATGCAGACTATCTACTGTCTGGGCTTCCCTGCTACCTCAGTGGTAAAGAACCTGCCTGCAAGTCAGGAGCCGCAGAAGATGATGGTTCGATCCCTGGGTAGGAAAGATCCCCTGGAGGAGGGCATGGCAATCCACTCCAGTATTCTTGCCTGGAGAGTGCCATGGACAGAGGAACACGGTGGGCTACAGTCCATAGAGTTGCAAAGAGTCAGATAAGACTGAAGTGACTAAGCACACACATACGCATCTATTGTCTACCATTTCACTGGTCAGTCCATCCATAAAAGAGAATTTAAGCTGACTCAAATACAGGGGAAAAAGGGGAAAAAAACCTCAAAAATAGGGAAAATAAGAGAAACTAGAACATGTCAACTATGCTTCCTAAGAAATTATGCCTCACTGTAGAAGTTAAATATGAGAATTTCCACCTCAGTAAATCTCTCATACAAAAATAAACATTTAAAAGAAATCTAAGTCATTATTTATATACATTACTTAGCATATAAAAGGCAATACAAAAGTAGAAATGATACTTCTTAAATCATTATTTGCCAGAGTATCTATAAATAAAATCATTACCCCAAATCAGAAATGCTATGATTTAAAAATTGTTATTAATACATAGGTTTTCTCAATACCTCACCAAAACAGCCACCAACCCTTTCCCACGAAAAATATACATACACAAGTCTGTAAGTTAGAGGCTGAAAAACACTAACATCAAGGAGTTCATTTTAATTATAAATTGATGTTGCATTTCCACAAACATTGGTTATAGATAGCTGAATGAAATACCAATATCCAAGAGCATTATGTAAACCTATAGTGAACCTAGCAAAATGCACCTCTCAAGTAGAAATATTTCTTTTTACAAATGTTCTAAGGAACAATGCTTAAAATCATATAAAGTTTGAAATATAATTTTAATAAAGTTTACATGAAAAAAGGAAACACCAAAGTTGGTAAATAATGGAAGTCTTTTGGCTTTCTTATAAATGCAATCTTCATAATTTCCCAACCTTCAGAGTATGAACTGTTTTTCCAGGAAAGTAAAATGTAAACTGAGCTTCTTATGTAGCTTTATGTGTCAGTCACTCCCAGACCCCGGTCTGCCATCATCTGCTCCATCACTTTCTTTGTCCCAGTCTTTCATGGATGCACCCATCATGAAATCATCACGCAAGATCGTCCATCCTGGGCCCTCTTCTGATTTTGCTTCAGTCTAAGGGAAAGTACATGATCAAAACATTCAAAAGTCAATTTTACCAAAAGGAAATTTTAAAACTCTAGGCTACAAAACAAACTTGTCAACACTTTGTTTCATAATAGGAGTGAAACCAAGACAAACTATAGATTAACTGTACACATGATGATCGTGTACATACACATATGTAGTGCTGTGTTAAGAAATGTGGGCCTCATACAAGAACCACAGAAGCAGAATTACATTTTTTATTTGCAGTGTGTGTATGTGTGTGGGGGGGTGGGGTGGTGAAGAGTTGGGGGGGGTTGTTTGTGGTGATATAGTAAAATCTAGGTTTGGGATCAATTTTTCAAATCTTCTGACAGTCAAAACAAACTTATAAAATATTATTTAACATTCAGTGATAACCTATTAGAAAACATTTGGCAAATTATTTTAACACACAGAGAAATTTTTAACAAAGTATTTTAATCCAAAATTAATTAAAATAGTGAAAAATGAAACTAACCTGATACTGTGCTAGGTGTTTATAGATGCTATCACATTTAAAATTTGATAAAAAACTGAACCAAATGTTATATAAGTTATGATCTCACTGCCTCCCCAAATCATGGACTCAAAAGACTAGTCACATGCTAAAACCATAAATAACCAAAGCAGGCAATAAACATAATGGTAGTCAATTCATTTTGTTTATTCACAGGATTTATATAAAACTATGCAAGAATCAGTCTTTTATTTCACAGTACAACAGTACCACCTTGTGGCATTAATTAAGTAGTGCAGGATGCTGAACTAGTTTCTTTTCTTCATTCCTCAAATATTTACTGAGAACTGCGTATTTAACACTGTCCTGAGTGTTAGAAAGAATGATGACCAAAACAAAGTCCCTGTCTTCATGAGCTAACAGTCTGTGCTTTTCTACTTACTCCACACACAGAAATACACAATGTGGGAAAAAATCTAAATATACAAAAACCCATTTGGTTAGAGAAAACAGTTACTTTATGGGAGCCTACTAACCTATAAAAAGCAATTATTAGGAGAAAAGATGTTAAAAACACTTACAGGGTTAAGAGATACTTATCTAATTCTGTTGAAGCCATTTTTTTTTTATTTAAAAAAAAAATACAGCCCTGAAACAGTAATACCATTTTTTTTTTAAAGGATGCTATCACAAACAGGAAAAAATATCCTCTTGGCTTACTCGTCAAAGCTTTTTCCTAAATAGAACCCGAAGACTGGAGAGCATATTAAATGTGAACAAAGATTTCAGAACTGACTTAGTGAATCAAACAGTACACCTGGTCCTATAATTTAACCAGCATGAAGAAACAAGAGCCATCTGTGTTGCTTAAAAACCCACCGCAGAACAGTTCCAAGGCTCTCTGGGCCGCACTGACAGAGCAACAAAGCAGAAGGCAATTTATAACGCTGCTGCTGGAGGGTGTGGGCACGCCTCCATCCCTCCTCTCTGCAGGGCCAAACCCACATTCCTAAAGGACTTCTGCTTCTGTTAGATTAAGCCACCTAACTGAATAAAAGGCCATGTTCCCTGAGTCAGCTAGTTTTCCCTGCCAATCGCACCTTACTTAAATAAGCGAGAGTTGTTCCCAATGAACAGAGATCCACTTTGAACCATTAACTGTAACACCTCTGCCAAGTTAATTATTCAAGGCTTTCAAATAAATTCTGAAAAGTATATGCTTCCTGGTATTTGTTGTTGTTTAGTCACTAATGAAGTGAAAGTCAGTCATATCTGACCCTCTGCAACCCCATGGACTATATACAGTCCATGGAATTCTCCAGGCCATCAGACACTTTGCGACCCCATGGAGTGTAGCCCACCAGGCTCCTCTGTTCATGGGATTTCCCAGAGGCAAGAATACTGGGGTGGGTTGCCATTTCCTTCTCCAGGGGATCTTCCTGACCCAGGGATCAAACCCGCGTAGGAGACACGGGTTTGATCCCTGGGCTCCTGCATTGGCAAGTGGATTTTTTTTTTTTACCACTGTGCCACCTGAGAAGCTCAATCCATGAGGACAAGATCCAAACAGAAAACAGCAACACGATTTTAGAAGGTGGAAGCAGACGGACCATGTCTTGGCAAAGCCAAGGAAGGTGAATCCTACAACTCCAATTGTCAGTCTGACAACTAAACCAATTCACCCTGCAGACTCTTCAAGGGAAAAAACCAAAACCTAGGAATGGGCAGTTCTGGTACTTTTGGAAGTAAGGGTAGAACGGAGGAATCAAGATGAGAACTGGGTGAAAGTTAGATTGAGAAACAATCAGACTGTTTCCCCTGGATGCCCCTCCCCACTCCCCTGGCAGAAGACTAGAGGCTTAACCTCTGGAGGGGTAATGGGCTGGCACAGATGGAAGCGCAGGTGCAGTACCAAAACCAGGGCATTAACTCACACACAGGCACATACACTTCACCTCCAATAATGAGTCCCAGCCTTCTTCTCACGGTGGACTCCCAAAATGCTGGTAGCCACAGCTTTTTCCTCCAGGGAGCAGATCAGGAATACTCCATAGAAAATCTAACCAGTAACTAATAAATAACACACTAAGAGAAGGCTACATTAAAGCTCACATGTCATGTGGACAAACTCCACATATTCAGAGTGTCCAATCAACTTTTCTAGGATTATTTGTTCCAATCATGAACAAATAAGATTTATCAAAAAGAAGAGGAAGAATAATATAAACAAACATTTAAAAAGCAACTTCTAAGAAAAAGAAACTATTCAACTAAGAAAAGAAAAACAGGGGAAAATACCATTAATATCCCTGAAGAGTTAGGAGATTATATTATATCTACAAGATGAGAACAGTTGCTATTTTAAAAGAAACATTAAGAGAATAACAAAGAGCTTAGAAATAAAAGCATGATGGCTGAAAAAAAAAAGTATAAAGGTGAGAAGACAAAGCTAAGAAAATCATGCAGAAGGAAAAAAGTGATGAAAAACATTAGAAAAAGTAGGATAACTGGAAGAACAGCCTGGGAGACTCCAGCGTGGCGACTACAGTCAGGCAGGGAGCAAAGCCTGAACAGTGACCTCGAGGAAGACAAAACCCCTGGGGGCTGCTGCTCAGTCACTAAGTCGTGTCCGACTCTCTGCGACCCCATGGCCTGAAGCCCACCAGGCTCCCCTGTTCTTGGGGTTTTGTATGCTTTACCAAAATAGTGGGGGTATCAATTTACATTTCCACCAGCTATGCAGGAAGGTTCCCTTTTCTCCACACCCTCTCCAGCATTTGACTTTTACCAGCAACACAAGAGGGTTCCCTTTTCCCCACACCCTCTCCAGAATTTATTATTGGTAGACTTTTTGATGATGGCCATTCTGACTGATGTGTGGTGGTATACAATTGTAGTTTTGATTTGGATTTCTCTAATAATGAGTGGTGTTGAGCATCTTTTCATGTGTTTGTTAGCCACTTGTATGTCTTCTTTGGAGAAATGTCTGTTTAGGTCTTTTTTTCCCACTTTTTGATGGGCAGTTTGTTTTTCCAGTATTGAGTTGTATGAGCTACTTGTATATTTTGTAAATTAATTCTCTGTCAGTTGTTTCCCTTGCTATTATTTTCTCCCATTCTGAGGGTTTCCTTTTCACCTTGTTTGTAATTTCTTTTGCTGTGCAAAAGCCTTCAAGTTTAATTACATCCCACTTGTTTATTTTTGTTTTTAATTCCATTATTCTAGGAGAAGGGTCACAGATGATCTTGCTTTGATTTATGTTGTGGAGGGTTCTACCTATGTTTTCCTCTGTTTTATTGTTTCCGGTCCTACATTTAGGTCTTTATCTTTGTGTATGGCATTAGGATGTGTTTTAATTTCATTCTTTTCAACCGAGCTGTCCAGTTTTCCCAGCACCACTTACACAGGGCACTATGGAAGATGGTGAAGTTGCTCAGTTGTGTCCAACTCTTTGTGACCCCATGTACTATACAGTCCATGGAATTCTCCAGGCTAGAATACTGGAGTGGGTAGCTGTTCCCTTCACTAGGGGATCTTCATAATGCAGGGATCAAACCCAGGTCTCCAGCATTGCAGGTGGATTCTTGACCAGCTGAGTGAGTAGTACATGGGTGCAATCTCAAAAACGACAGAATGATCTCTGTTCATTTCCAAGGCAAACCATTCAGTATCACAGTAATCCAAGTCTATGCCCTAACCACTAATGCTGAAGAAGCTGAGGTTGAACATATACCCCAACCACTAATGCCCAAGAAACTGAAGTTGAACAGTGCTATGATGACTTACAAGACCTTCTAGAACTAACATCAAAAAAAAGATGTCCTTCTCATCATAGGGGACTGGAATGCAAAAGTAAGAAGTCAAGAGATACCTAGAGTAACAGGCAAATTTGGCTTTGGAGTACAGAATGAAGCAGGGCAAAGGTTAATAGTTTTGCCAAGAGAACACACTGGTCATAGCAAACACCCTCTTCCAAAAACACAAGCGATGACTCTACACATGTACATTATCAGGTAGTCAATACCAAAATCAGGACTGATTACATCCTTGCAGCTGAAGATGGAGAAGCTCTATACAGTCAGCAAAAACAAGACCAAGAAGGGATTGTGGCTCAGATCATGAACTTCTTATTGCAAAATTCAGACTTAAATTTAAAAGCAGGGAAAACCACTCGACCATTCCGGTATGACCTAAATCAAATCCCTTACGATTATACAGTGAAAGTGACAAAAAGATTCAAGGGATTAGATCTGACAAGAGTGCCTGAAGAACTATGGGAGGTTCATGACACTGTACAGGAGGCAGTGATTAAGACCATCGCCAAGAAAAAGAAATGCAAAAAGGCAAAATGGTTGTCTAAAGAGGTCTTCAGAGAAGGCAATGGCACCCTACTCCAGTACTCTTGCCTGGAAAACCCCATGGATGGAGGAGCCTGGTAGGCTGCAGTCCATGGGGTCGCGAAGAGTCAGACATGACTGAGCGACTTCACTTTCACTTTTCACTTTTCTGCATTGGAGAAGGAAATGGCAAC